GGCATTAAGGAGGGCACTTATTGTGATGAGCACTGGGTGTTGTATGTAAGTGATGAACCCCACCCCCTCTACCCTTACAGGGTAGGGTTGACCACCTCTTCCCAATTGAGTGTTCAAAAAAAAAAAAACAAAAAAAAAAAAACAGAAAGAAAGAGAGAGAGAGGCAGGCAGAGGGCAAACCATAAAACAGACCCTTAACTAAAGAACGACTGAGGGTTGCTGGAGGGGAGGTGGGCAGAGGTATGGGCCAAATGAGTGATGGGCATTAAGGAGGGCACTTATTGTGATGAGCACTGGGTGTTGTATGTAAGTGATGAATCACTAACTTCTAGAAACAATAAAAATAATAATAAAAAACAGAGTGTCTCAACTGTCTTCCATCTACTGTGACAGCTGCAGACTTTTTTGACTCCTCTGTACTTCTGTAGTCACCTATTCCACTGTTAGGTCCCTGAGGGCAGGGACTGTGTTTTGGTTTTCTCGCTGCCTTCCACAAAGAAAGTGCTCCCAAAATTTGACGAAACATGTATGCGTTTGGAGAAATCACTGAACGCCTTCCAATATCTATCTTCTCATCTTTAAAATGAACTGAGGAGCGCCTGGGTGGCTGTCGGTTAAAGTGGCCAACATCGGCTCAGGTCATGATCATGTGGTTCACAGGTTCGAGGCCCGAGTCGGGCTCTGTGCTGACAGCTCAGAGCCTGGAGGCTGCTTGGAATTCTGTGTCTCCCTCTCTCTTTGCTCCTCCTCCCCCAAAATAAATAAACATTAAACATTTTTTAAATAAAAAACATAAAAGAAATCGAATAAAAACGTCCATTGTTGCCATAAAGTGTTATGGAAATAAGATCCTAAGATTTTATTAGTATTTTTAAGTGATCTGAATTAAGTACCTCATTATAAATCTATACATAGAATATCTTCCTTTAGGCTTGCAAATAATTTTGAGCAATGAATCCAAAGAAAACAAACAACCCACAATTCATGATCTCAATTGATGTTAATCATTTATTTTTAAGGACCCCTAGGTAAGCATTTTTCAATAACAAATTAATTTTGGGTTCTAGAGAAATAGAGCTTAGAGGTATCTTACATCAATTGGGACACCTGGGTGGCTCAGTCAGTTAAGCGTCTGACTTCAGCTCAGGTCATGATCTCACGGTTCATGAGTTCGAGCCCTGCATCAGGCTCCGTGCTGACAGCTTGGAGTCTGGAGCCTGCTTCTGATTCTGTCTCTCCCTCTCCCTCTCTCTCTATGCCCTTCCCCTTCTCATACTCTGTCTCTCTCTCTAGAAACATAAATAAACATTAAAAATAACTTAAAAAAAGTTATCTTAAGCCAACTGATTTTCAGTGAAGAAAAAAATGATTAGGGAAAAGATTTATCATCTCTAAAAATCAAACTGGTTAGGTATTTATAATCTTTAAAAAGAAGAGGGGGTGCCTGGGTGGCTCAGTCAGCTAAGCATCCGCCTCTTGATTTCAGCTCAGGTCATGTTTTCAGGGTCTGTGAGTTTGAGCCCCACATCGGGCTCCAGCATGGAGCTTGCTTGGGATTCTCTCTCTCCGCCCCCCTCTTTCTGTCACTCCCCTACTCCCTCTATCTCAAAATATATAAATAAACTTAAAAAAAAAAAAAAAGAAGGGGATAAAACTTCTGATGTCTAGATATATTTTCTAAAATACTTAAAAACAAATTACAGGAAAAAAACAAGTTTCTTTTTGAGGGATGGGGGACATATGTGTTTTGAAATTGCTGTAAATTTCTGTAGAAGGTATTATAACTGAGTGTGTGTGTGTGTGTGTGTGTGTGTGTGTGTGTTGTGTGTGTTTAGCAAGTACATATCACCTTCTCTTCTAAGGATTATGGTCATGTTCATGAATGGATCAAGTTGTGGTTTATCTATACCATGGAATACTACATGGCAATGAGAAACAATGAAATCTGGCCATGTGTAGCAACATGGATGGACCTTGAGGGTGTTATGCTGAGTGAAATAAGTCAGGCAGAGAAGGACAAATATCATATGTTTGTACATATAGGAGGATTGGGAGGAACTTAACAGAGGACCACGGGGGAGAAGGGGGGAAAATAGTGGGGGAGAGGGAGAGAGGCAAACCATGAGAGACTCTTGAATGCCGAGAACAAACTGAGGGTTGATGCAGATGGGGGGGGAGGGGGGTGACGGGCATGGAGGAGGGCACTTGTGGGGATGAGCACTGGGTGTTATATGGAAACCAACTTGACAATAAACTATTAAAAAAAAAGATTTCTATCTAAAAAGCAAAGTGAACAAACAAAACCAGTAAGAGACTTATAAATACAGAAAACAAACTGGTAGTTGCCAGAGGGGAAGGTAGGAGGGCGGGTGAAATAGGAGAAGGGGATTAAGAGGCGCAAACTGAGGGGCGCCTGGGTGGCTCAGTCAGTTAAGCATCCGACTTCGGCTCAGGTCATGATCTCATGGTTGGTGAGTTTGAGCCCCACATCAGGCTCTGTGCTGACAGCTCAGAGCCTGGAGCCTGCTTTGGATTCTGTGTCTCCCTCTTTCTGTGCACCTCCCCCACTTGCACTGTCTCTCTCTCTCAAAAATAAACATTTAAAAAAAAAGAATTATGGTCATGTTCTGACATCTAAACAGTGATAGTCCATGATGTTCTAGTGAAAGAGTTTACACTGATCTGTAACTCAGGATATACTGACCCTGGTTCTGATCCTACCTCCGTTAGCCCAGTGGTCGTGTTCACAATGAAGGATTCTCTGGGCTTTCTTTTCTTCATTTATAAAATAAAACCATACAGTCACGCTTGTCAGTGGTTCTCTATAATAGCAGAGAATCTGCTCTCTGCATAAGGCTATGAAACGATGATCATCGTATTTCCACTTCATAGTTTAGGGGCACTTTTAGTATGAAAAAATATGACCAGCAATGGTAAGTTGCCCCATTAAATTTACAAGTTACAAAATAAATGGGAAGCACAATCATGAGCACTCACATCCATTAAGAACTCAGTTGCGAGCCAACAAAGAGCGAAGGTTTTGCCATTAATGGTCATTTTCTTTTTCACTCATCCTGTCATCCACTCCTAAGCAGTATCATACAAGCAGTAATAGGGAGCACATATTCAAAAAGAATTATAGAAGAAGAAAACCAAATGTGAAAAGAACTTTCCACTAGCAACCTTTGTTTGGCAGACTAGAAGAGGAGAGCCCTTAGCTGATTTAGGAGAACGCGTAATCCAATGCATGGGACACCACTGTTTGGCCGGACACTTGGGGACTACTAAAGAAATCACCTTTCCCTTCTAAAATTCTGTTTTTTAACTACCTTTTTCCCTAAATTTGGCATCTTCCTGAGGGGTGGAGGGTGGGAGAGAATGTGCTAGTTAGATAACACGTAACTTTGTGGCCTGGAGAAAGGCAACTTTATCTGGTGACCGAAAGCAAGAGGAGAGCTGCCTGGCACATCTGCATCTCCCTCCACCAGTCCAATCCCTTTCCCATCAGTTTATGGCCCTTCTTTGAAAAGCAAATTCCTAGATACTCTGTTGCCCTCAACTGCCTCTCTCTCTACCTAAGATGTAGGCAAGAGCAGGAATAAATCTGTTTATGGAGAAATACAAGAATACCTTAATTTTAAATTCCAACTGGGAGTTAATGGTGTACATCATTTCAGTCCTTTCCATCTTCCGAGCTCCTTCGTTGCACAGTCGAACCAGCTGGGAACACAGAATAATAAGAAGGGTTAAGAGGTCAGGAGAGAAATCTTAATTTCAAATGCAGATCTCTCGCAGGAAATAATTTGCACTTTGGAAGCTCCAGAGAGACTCATTTCTAACAGTTAAAGAACTCACAGTTTTTACACAGTTAAGACACTGTACCCGGTTAGAGGTGGTGTATTAAGACGTGAAGACAGAGGGGGGAAAAACTCCTGAAAAGTCTCTGGGAGGAGTCCTCTGAGGGCTCTCCCACGGTCTGATCTCAGACCCTTCAGCTCCTTTCCTCTGCCCCTCCCTCCCCTTCTCCTTTGCCAGGGAAACCAGGGAAACCTCATGTAGCCTCAGGGGAAGCTGCCCCTGACCCCACCCCCCCCACCCCCAAATGGCTGGGTCAGACTACCAACTTCAAAGGCAAATTTTAAGCAAACTTCTATCTGTAGAAGCATAGGACCAGTACACAGGATGCTGAAAGAGGGAAACCTTCTGTGTAAAGTAATGGTCAGTGGTTCTTCAAGGATAGAAACTTCAGTATAATTAGAACTACTGAATTATCTATAAAATGAATGTATTCAAAGTCCTCTGATAAGGGCCTGTGACTTATAATAAGAAGGATCTATTTGGTCTTGGATCATAGCTCCCAGCACAGAGTCCCTGCAGTCCTTGTAATTTCCATTTATAAGAGCCCTGGGGCCATTGTTACTTACAGTATTTACTGTTGTTTCCAGTTCCCCAAAGCTCCAGGGCAATGTTGGTGAAATGGGGGTCTTCACATCAGAGTTTATGTTAATGAGGCAGCTTTTAGAAAGCCCCAAGGATAGGGGCTGGCTGCCAGCAGAGCCAACCAAGTTACTGCAGAGAGATGTGTAGCTTGCAGCCCTACCAGACCCTCCCCCACCAGACTTTTGGGGAGGGGGGAGGGCTGGCAATGGGCTTGACCACTAATGGCCAATGATGTAATCAATTGTGCCTATGGAACGCAGCCTCCATAAAAATACGTAGACTACGAAGTTCAGAGAGCTCCAGGTTGGTGAACAAGGACACATCTCCATGCTGGGAGGGTGGGGAACCCCACTCTCCATGGAGACAGCAACTCCTGTGCTTGAGACCCTTCCAGACCTCATCATAGAACCAGTCTAGGCAGGGTGAACACCATGAACAGAGGGCAGACGATGGCAAAGTGCTGGTGTGCCCGAGAAAGTGTAAGATATTCACACACGGAAGATGGCACAGGATGGAACGAGAGGCCAGGGTCAATGCACACAAGGTCTTAAGGCATCTGGATTGCATTCCAAGTGCAAACAGAAAGACTTACTAGCAGGCATGCGGCACAAGGGTGGTATGATGCAATTTATGCTGTGATTGTATGCTTTCCACAACGTATTTAATTCAATCCCTTACTGATGGACGCTTAAACAAGTTACAATTGCTTAATGGATTTCTAGATTTGGAGGGTACCCTTATCTTCAGCTGCAGCTTATCTTTAGGTCTGAACCTAAAGAGTTCACTGATGCAGAGACTGACAGCTATATCTGATCACAACTAGAAGCCCAAAACATCCAGGCTGGGCTTAGGGGCCATGTGAAACTGCACTATCCTGAAAGGATTAGGACATCTCAGAGTGAAACCTAACCAGGCAGCCATGGCCCTAGACATTATTATCATTTCTCTCGTGGAGTAGGTTCACAGTTCCCAAATCTACGTTCCCAGACTCGGCCTGTCCCCTTCATTCTACCTCCAACTAGAAGACATCTCTTCTTTGGATGACTCACAGGCATCTCAAAGTCAGAATGAGAATAACCAAACCTGAGCATCACCTCCATCATCCACTCCCCTCAGCTGAAAAACCTGGCCCTGAAGGCTCTCAGACGGCCCCCTCTCCTTTGTCCTCCATCTCCAAGCGGTCATGAATCCTCCTTCATGTTGCTGTCCTGTAGTCCACAACCCTCCCTTTGCTTTGCATCCAGAACTCAGGTTCAAACCCCCTCCTCCCTGGATTACTGACCTGCCATCCCTTGCTTCTACCCTATTCTGACACATCCTCCAGATACTGCTGTCAGTCTTCCTAGGTTCAAATATGATCACGAAATGCCTTGGCTCAAAAGCCTTAGAAGACTCCCCTCAGTTATCAGAATTAGGTCTTAGCAAAACCATGATCTGGCAACCGCTCATTGACCCCACGTCGGTCACTGCTCTTATTTTGGGCCTCAGCCCTGTAAAGTTTCTAGACAAAGTACTATGTTGTACCTTGCCTTTGCACTTTTGCATGTGTTTCCCTCGGCCTGAACAGCCTTCACCCCACTCTGTCCAATCAACTCCTTCTTATCTACTAGATTTATACCCCCCTACCTGCCTTTCAGGATTTATCTGGGGCATTTCTTCTCCAAAAAGAATGGAAAGCAGAGATTGTGAAATCTCCATTATTTGTAAGCCCAGTGCCACAGTCCGGCACCTGAAAATCCAAGGAACACGCAGCAAATGCTTCTACCTAACAAACTGCCTTCAGAGACAGCTTATAAGTCACTTAAATAAAAGGCAGGTGGGAGAAGGGAGCAGCTTCTTTATAGTAATCCTGTTTTAAAATGAGAGCTGTGGGGCGCCTGGGTGGCTCAGTCAGTTGAGCATCAGACTTCAGCTTAGGTCATGATCTCACGGTTCGTGGGTTCAAGCCCCATGTCAGGCTCTATGCTGACAGTTCAGAGCCTGGAGCCTGCTTCGGATTCTGTGTCTCCCTCTCTCTGTCCCTTCCCCACTCATGCAGTCTCTCCCTCTCTCTCAAAAAATAAGTAGACATTTAAAAAAAATTTTTAAAGAATATAAAGTCTACTTTATAAAAGTAACTAAATAAATTAATTAGATTAAATAGAGGGGAAGTGGGATTATTAAGTTCGGGTTATCATCTTATTTCCTAACTTTTTTTTAAATTTTTAAACGTTTTTATTTATTTCTGAGAGAGACAGTGTGAGAAAGGGAAGGTCAGAGATAGAGAGAGACACAGAATCTGAAACAGGCTCCAGGCACTGAGCTAGCTGTCAGCACAGAGCCCGATGCGGGGCTCGAACCCACGAACTGTGAGATCATGACCTGAGCTGAAGTCGGCCACCCAACCAGCTGAGCCACCCAGGCACCCCAATTTCCTAACTTTCAAATACTGACTCCCTCAGCAAAAGATGGGAGTCAGCCACCATGTCAGAAAACAATGTTACAGAAGGCATATTAAAATCAAAAAAGTTCCCAAACTGTCTTAACCAACAGGTCTCGTCAGTAGAGCCATTTTAAGGACTATTTCAAAGGAACAGATGCTAATTCGAATACGTGTGCTCTGGTGTTTTTATTAAAATCAAGCTCAGTATATTAAAGTCATGCCTTCCTTCAGCAGTTGTTAAAGCTTTATTAAATTTAACTCATTAATTTTTTTAGGTCAAATTTATTTTTTTATAAAAAGCTCAAACACTCTAATAAAGAAATATAATTTGAAAATAAAATATTTTTGGGGCACCTGAGTAGCTCAGTCGGTTAAGCGTCCGACTTCGGCTCAGGTCAAGATTTCGTGGTCTGTGGGTTCGGGCCCCACATCGGGTTCTGTGCTGGCAACTCAGAGTCTGGAGCCCATTTCAGATTCTGTGTCTCCCTCTCTCTCTGCCCCTCCCCTGCTCATGCTCTGTTTCTCTCTGTTTCAAAAATAAATAAAAACTATAAAAAAAGAATATAAAATATTTTTAATCTATCAAATGCACAAAGATTAAAAGAATATTTGATGCTGAGAAGTGTGCAGTAAGACTGATATTTATTTACGGTGGCCAGGGACATGGGAACAACTTTTTATGAAGGCCCTTAGGGGCTTTTAAAAAATGCCTACATTTTGTTCCAATAAACCCAATTCTAGAAATTTATCTTTAGAAATAATCAGATGAGCACAATCATTGATGCAAGACAATGTTCCAGGCAGTACACTGTAGAACAGTAAAATAGGTACCATATGAATATATTTTTCAGCATATATTTATACCATATGCTGGTATTGGAACAGACATCCAATAGGAAGGATGTGTAATAGAATGACAACAGTCATTACCTTCGATAAAATTACTGATATATTTTATTTTCGCTCTCTTAGATTTTCCAAATTTTCTAGATTTTCTATAATATACTAGTTTATTTTAAGCATATACCTTTGTAAACCTTAAACACATTCTTACAGAGCAGTACTTAAAAGTGAAAACAGAAACCTTATGAATCCCTCCCTTCCACACAGTTCAAAGTTTGAGGTGTATGATTATGGGACTATTTCTACATACCAGTAACATACACATGTGTATCAACACCCTTTATTATCTAGATGTCATCACGCCATTTGTAATGTTCTGCAGCTTAATGTTCCTCTCATAACAATATAGCTTAGGGATCTTTCCATATTAACAGATAGATACATCTACGTTTCTGCAAATGGTTGAAGCAATAAGTTAGAGGAAAAGATTAAAGAGACTTGGCTGTTTTGCCACTAGGAGAAAAGCTTAAAACTTAATAGTATCTCAAAATAGAAGCAGAATCTTTATGAGGTAAGACTGAATGGAGTTAATCTTTTTGGTGGGAGAGTAAATGGAAGAGAAGAGCAGGAAAGTCTTCACTGGCCTAAGAAACTATCTCTTGACCACTACTCCTTAAACACCAGACACCACTCTGCACCAGCTGAATTTCAGTCCCTGGAAATCGCCCTCCCTACCCCATCATGTGAACAGAAAATCAGAAGTATACAAATCATTATTTAGTAGAAACACCTTTCTTGCTTTTGAGTTGTTCAACTAGGTCAATAAGACTTTCCAAAGCCCCAAATGTAGTTAAGCTCTAACTCTCATTCCAGCAACATGTATGAAGAATTTCAATGACATTATTCACACTGTGGTAAAAAAAAACAAAAACCAAAAACTTCATTTAGCATTTTAATCACCAGAAAAGATATTACTCATGTTTTCCAAGAACAAATAACTATCTAAAGACACTTGCCCAGGAGCCTTCCACAGAGTCTGATTCTAAAAACTTGGACCTTGATATACTGAATTTCACCCTCTAATACTGGGAAATCCCAATTTCTTTCTTTTTCAGATAAAGCAAACAAGAGAAATTCTGCATTTTAATTTTTTTTTTTAATTAATGTTTATTTTTGAGAGAGACAGAGAGAGTATGCGAGCAGGGTAGGGGTAGAGAGAGAGGGAAACACAGAATCCGAAGCAGGCTCCAGGTTCCGAGCTGTCAGCACAGAGCCTGACATGGGGCTCGAATTCATGAACCATGAGATTATGACCTGAGCTGAAGTTGGATGCTTAACTGACTGATACACCCAGGTGCCCCCTGCATTTTAATTTTGAACAATAAATGCTCTATGCTATATATGTACAATCTTTTTGTTGAAAATACTGTTTCCTAGAATCTATGAAACCTCATCAATAGCCTAAACAAATGCATAAGAAGATTAATTCCTGAGCTGACCATATTAGTGGTTTTAGCTCCCATACAGCACTAGGAGACTAGGGCAATAAATCCAATGCTCCTAACTTGTGCTCGAGAGAAATGCAAGTCACTAAACAGCATTTCTTCACAGAGTGCCTTTTGTATGCCAATAGTATCAGATTAAGGCAATGTACTGATCCATTACATTTTTGCCAGCCTTTGCTACAAATGCCAGTGTCAAATCCAGTAAACAAGAGACACCTGAAGGAATGTTGTGGCTGACTGTAACTGGGATGTGAAATTCTTGGAAACACTAAATATCATTCCTAATTCAACCATTACTACTGCCTTCCTCTTTTCTCTTCTGCGTGAATTTTTTTTTTAAACTTCTTAGTAACCACCAAATAAAATTTGACAAAATGTCTTTCAAGTCCAAGGCTGGAACTTCCCTAGTAGCTCCGCCTAATGACCCTCCCCTACTGCCTCCAAGGAGGCAGCACTGGATGTGGGGTCCTAAAGGAGAGGCCTGTGGGCAAGAGGACCTTAGGTAACTTCACACGTGTCAGGCTAAGTTTCTTCACTTGGTGTTTCCTAAAATGGGATGTGCAGGCCACCGATAGGGCAAGAGATGAATTTAAGTGGTTGATAGATGGTTATGGTTTGAATTTCTATAGCCCTCCAAGCTCATATGGTGAACTCCTAGCCCCCAAAGGGGATGTTATGGGGAAGTGGGGCCTCCGGGAGGTGCTTTAAAAGTCATGAGGGTTGAGGGGGTACCTGGGTAGCTCAGTTGGTTGAGTGTCTGACTTCAGCCCAGGTCATGATCTTATGGCCCGTGAGTTAAGGCTCTCGTATCAGGCTCTGCACTGGCAGGCAGCTCAGAGCCTGCTTTGGATCTTCTGTCTCCCTTTCTCTTTGCCCCTCCCCTGCTTGCACACTCTCTCTCTTTCTCAAAAATAAGTAAAAAATTAACATTAAAAAAAAAGTCATAAGGGTAGAGTCCTCATGAATGGGCTTAGTGTTCTTAAAAAAGAGGCTCTATTAATCCTGTAGCCCCTTTGACCATGTAAGGCTACAGGGAGAAATCTGCCACTCAGAAGAGCACCCTCACCCAACCAAGCTGGCACCTTGATCTTGGACTCTTCAAACCTCCAGAACTGGGGGCGCCTGGGTGGCTCAGTCGGTTAAGCGTTTGACTTTGGCTCAGGTAATAATCTTCACAGTTCGTGGGTTCAAGCCCCGCACTGGGCTCTGTGCTGACAGCTCAGAGCCTGGAGCCTGCTTCAGTTTCTGTGTCTCCCTCTCTCTCTCTGCTCCTCCCCTGCTCACAAACTGTCTCTCTCTTGCAAAATTGAATAAACATTAAAAAAAATCCAAACAAAAACAAAAACAAAAACCTCCAGAACTGTGAGAAATAAATGTCTGTTGTTTATAAGTCATCCAGTCTGTGGTATCTTGTTATTGCAGCCTGAATGGACTAAGGCACAGATAAACTTACTTTTAAAATAAAATGGATGTTGGGGTGCCTGGGTGGCTCCATCAGTTGAGCATTGAACTTCAGCTCAGGTCATGATCTCATGGTTCATGAGTTCGAGCCCTGCGTCAGGCTCTGTGCTGACAGCTCAGAGCCTGGAACTTGCTTCACATTCTCTCTCTCTGCCCCTCCCCTGCTCATGCTCTGTCTTTCTCTCTCTCTCAAAAATGAACATTAAAAATAAAATAAAATAAAAATAAAATAAAATAAATAAAATAAAAAATGGATGTTAGAAAAATAAGTTAGCTCACCAAGCCCATGATTTTGTAGGTACTACAGTCATGAGCCAGCTTAAACCTGATTAAAAGAAACCATGAAGTTTACCTCACAGTAACATAGTGCAAAAGTGTACCAGACTCTAAGGTGATATGGTAGCTGCAATGGTTCAGGAAGCTTCTGACGCCACCATGATCTCTGCCCCTCTGCCTACCTCATACGGTATCCTCATTGACTCTTATACCTTCTACAGCTTTCTCTCAGCTAGACATTCCTATAGGCATTTAAATGTACCCACAGATTTTTTAATCTTTAAGCAAACAAACTGAGACACTTCCCACACTTCTCTTTCAGCTACAGATCTCTTTCCACTGGCAGCCGCAGTGTTGAAACAGTCTGCTACACTTGCTGGCTGGCCGTGTAGCCATGCCTCCCCTCATTCCTCAACATACTGCAATCTGGCCTCCACACCCACCACTGCGAGGACACAACCCACCTGATGGTAAACCCATGAAGCCTCACTCATTATTCACTGTATCCTTCAGGAGCACTCAGAATTGCTCACCTTCCTTCTACCAAATCATCTGCCATTTGCCAGGCCATTCTGGTTTTCCTTCTTCTTTGGTATGGTTTATTTTTTAAGTATCCTCTGCGGGTAACTTTTCCCTCAACAAGATGAATGTTGGAGTCCTTCGTGGTTGTGCCTCAAACTCACTACTCTTCTTACTCTACACACTCTTCCTGGGTAATCTCATCCTCTCTCCCAGCTTCGGAACGCATCCTATGCCCATGATTCCCAAACCTGGGAGACTTCCAGTCTCTCCAACTATTCAAGCCAACTTGGATATTCTGTAAGAGCCTCTATTATAAACTGTCCAAGATGGAAGTCATCAGCTTCTTCCCATGTTTCTATTGTAAAGGTAATTAAGAGCATCATGGAGTTGCTCAAGCCAGGGACCATACTCCTTGACTTCTGATTCCAAATACACTCACCCAATCCATCTCTGTGCTACCTTCCCACTATTCTATTACATACTGCTTCTCTCCACCTTCCTATCATATCCATAAAGCCCACTGTCACCTCTAGCCTACTCAAATACAAAAGCCTCAAAACTGGTCCCATCCCCATTGTCACCTCCACAATGCATGAATTTATAGCTTCTATATCATCTAAAGAGAAGGTCCACACTTCCCTAACAAGGCTCCTCGGTATTCTTTCCTAGATTGGACTTCATAGCCACACAAAGAACATTCCAGTTTTTAAAATCCTCCAAAAACTTTCTCGCTGTTGGGTCTCTACACATACCCAAGACATTCTCTTTCCCTCCAAGCCCTGGTTCAGATTTAAGCTTGCTTTAGGTTTCAGCTTAAACATCACTATGTTCTTCCCTATCGTGCCACTCACCATCCTTTATTAAAATTCTTATTTAACATCCGCCTTCCCCTTTACACAGCACATTCCATGATGGCATCAACCACAACTGTCTAATGTATGCATCACTGTATTTTCAGGGGCACCATAGCTGATACTCAGGAAATAGCTATTTAATGAGAGACTGAATCAACAACTATTCAGACACTGAAAGACTACTGGCAAGACTGTCTGAAACAGTCAAAATACTAATTTCATTTCATTTTTCAGCTACCTAGAGAATGCTGTGCAAATGGCTTTGAGCCTCTACCAGTATTCAGCATCAAAACCTGACACAAACTCCTCCAAGGTGTTGAATGGTTTACTGTGTGACGAGCAAGCTGTTCCACAGTTACCTTGCTCACTTCCTTTAAGGCTCTTTTGCAGACTTCATACTTCGGAGAGTCCTTAGGTGTTTTCTGACAGATAGTCTGCAGTGAAGTAAAAGAAAAACAAAATCAAAGCCCAGCGACATCTTCTTACTCATAGCAAACTTAACAATGCTGAACCACAACATTATGGGTGAATATGAAAAGGAAGTAACAATCCACTTACAAAACTAGGAAATAGTCGTTAGATGCACAGGATCCAAGTAAATCCAGGGAATGATTCAATATGAAAATAGACTCCAGAGGCAGATGAACCGAGTTTCAAATACAAGTTCTGTCCCTTACTAGTTATTTGACTTTGGGCAATTCACCTACCTGGTCTCTATAAGCTTCAATTTCCTCATCTGTAAAATGGGGATAATGCCAAATACGTTGCAAAGCTGCTGCCAGGATTAAATGCTAATATATGTAAAGTTCTTTATGAGCACCTGGCATATGGTAGGCCCTCAGTGAATGATAAAATCATGCTAGTTATTACCGTCATCATCATCATTACGGTAACTATGCAGATAATACAATTGAATAAAAAGATCAAGAAAAACAAGCTGCTGGATTTTCTCTTGATGCATTTACATGTTGTTTTTGTGATGCTACAATTGACTTCAAGGAGGGCCATTTCAAGGTAAACAGAATTACAAATGGTTTTGAGATCATATCCATTCAAAGCCAATGAAACCCTTTTAATTGTTAAAAATGTTCATCTCAATTAACAAGTTTAACTAACACTCCTAATGAATTAAAATGGAAGAGACAATGCTTCAAGATTTAGATTCTGCCAGGGTGGCCAGATTTTCACATGTAGGAAACTATTAGGGCAAGAGGCACCAAACAGAAGCAGACGGTAAGTTGGAAACTAGCAACCCACTGGTCCCTGGAAAGTGGGGTAGTGCTAGGCTTACAAATCCGAAAGTCAGGTGTCAGGATTGTTGTCTGTGCCTATGTGAGAAGCAGGGGGTGCGCCATCTGTGGGTTTATGTTAATGGTTCTCAATTGTTTTTGACTGTGACCCACTGTAATGAATACATTTATACATTAGCAACCAGTACACACATACACAAAGATGAAGATAGGTTTTATTTGAAATAACATATAATGACATTATGATCCGTGTATATCACGTACCACGCATTCTATTCCATTTCATTTTTTTAAAAATAAACACAACTCGTGATTCAAAAATCAACTTCAAGACCCACTAACGTGTACAGAAGCAGTAATAAAATACCGCCCCTAAAGCAGGCATCCTGAGTCCTGAAGTATCTCTGCACACTTGAACTTTATGTAAAATTTTGTGACTACTGAATTTTCTAGGGAGAAGTACTATAGCTTTACGCATAATCTCAAAAGGTCTATGACACAAAAAGTTTTGGGCTCCCTGGACAATCATGGCATTACCCTCCAACATGGTACAATACGGCATGTTAGATTCTGAATCCTCACCTACTCAGTCAGTTTTCTCACAATTAAACAGAGAAAACATAGAAGGCTGGGAGATCATGCCATATACAGAATCTAAAGAAATATGGCTAAAAGACATTTTCAGAAGAAAAAGAACTCTGAAAATTTGTAACACTGCAGGAAACATTGCATTTAAAAGCACCCATTTCTCATTTTATACAATAGCAAAATTTGAAATATTTCTCTTGATGGATCAAAGTTTCAAATGGTTATGAAAGAGTGAGAAATCATATGAAATAAATTCTTTTTAAATGACTTTTTACTTCTGAAAAAATCTTATAGAACAAAGTACAATAGCTGCTCCTTGAATATATCTCTGCAAAGTTCACAACTTTTACATAACTCAGGACAAGCCTATATACTATATATAATGTATATATTATATATATAATGTATATGTATTGTATATATTATATATAATGTATATGTATTGTATACATAATGTATATGTATTATATGTATTATACATAATGTATATGTATTATATGTATTATACATAATGTATATGTATTATATGTATTATACATAATGTATATGTATTATATGTATTATATATAATGTATATGTATTATATGTATTATATATAATGTATATGTATTATATGTATTATATATAATGTATATGTATTGTATGTATTATATATAATGTATATGTATTATGTATTATATATAATGTATATGTATTATATATATATTAAATTACTCAAGAAACACGGAGTTTCGGGGCACCTGGGTGGCTCAGTTGGTTGAACGACTGACTTCAGCTCAGGTCATGATCTCACAGTTCGTGGGTTCAAGCCCTGTGTCAGACACTGTGCTGACCTCTCAGAGCCTGGAGCCTACTTCAGATTCTGTCTCTTTCTCTCTGTCTCTCTCTGCCCCTTTCTCTCAAAATATAAGCATTAAAAAAAAATTAAGAAACACCTAGTGTCTATTATTGTCAGGCTTAACACTTATTTCTTCATTTGTTTTCATGCCAATCCTCCAAGTACATATTACGCTTACGCTTCAGATGAAATTAGACAGTCGGCCTGGGATCACACAGTAAGCAGAAGGGCCAGATTCTGTGTCCAGATCTTTCTTAGTCCTGTCCTTACACAGGACTCCTAAGACACCAAGTTTAGACACGTCAGAGTCCCTTCTCTCAAAGTGCTGTGGGTGCTCATGGGGAGCAAGACAGATCTGCTCCAAAGGGCTCTAGTGAGGAGCATTGGAGCCAGTGCTTGGAAGATAGGCTGGCTGGTGTTGGGAGGCTGAGAAGTGGCAGCCAATAGTGACGTGAACAAAGACGCAGAGCAGAAAAGTCAGGGAACAAGTGTGGATGGAATCTAAAAATAAGTCTTTTTTAAGCGAAATTTGGTTCTGATAACCTGGCTGCATTCTATCCTTAGATGTGATAAATACTGAAATATTGATCTCAAAGAGAGAGAGAAAGAGAGAGAGAGAGAGAGAGAGAAAGAGAGAGAGCGCTACATTTTTGAGTTCTGCAAGGCTCCAGATATTTACAAGGAGAAAAGTTCCTAAATCCTAAGGGAAGGGTATAGGAAGGTAGTCAACCGAGGTGAAGCTGGAGAGCAGTAAGGTGTTGAAGAATTGGGAAACAACTACCAAAACCCTCCCCCAACAATGCAGCGCAGCCCACAAAGTGACTGATCACATGCTTTGACTCACTGAAAAACATCTGTGCTTTTAGAGTATCTCTTTGAATTTGGGACGGAATATGGAAAATGTAATTTATTTTGTTACCTGACTCAATCATAGTTTTGGGCGACATTTCTATCCTGTGTTTTGACGCGTCAAAAAATCAAGGGTTTTAAAACTCACATGAATATTATGATCCAATTTTAAGGCAAAACTACACCAAAATATTTTAATTGGATCACAAAGACGCGATTTGGTCCACTAGCGGGTTGGGAGCTGGGTGGGGCCACCTGGTTCTTCTGTCATCGCTGTGGTTCCACCTCGGCCAGCGTGCGGGGGCGCCCCCTACTGGACACCTCGCTGTCCTCCTCCCTGCACCTCCTACCGGATAACCTCGACTGCTTCTCCCAGCCACTTCTTGCCACCATTCAAAATTAAATCCTTGTTTTCTTCACGAATGTCCCCTAAAATAAAAAGGATGCTGACCTTCCTCACCCGTTTTTTTGCAATACAAAATGGGAGCAAGTTCGTGCCTTCTAGTGCCATAGAGTGTGTCTCCTTCCCGTGTAAAGCGGAAGTGCCTCAGCATCTTGAAACACTACATGGAAGGGATCATAGTGATTAAGCTGAGGAAACTGAGGCCTGAAGAAGACATTAAGTGACTTCCCCAAGGTCACAGGCCTAATGGTTCAGCTGGAAATGGAATCCAAGCCCCTTGTCATCAATAAACCAGTATTTTTTTCCATTTCAAAAAATGTTGAGTTAGTGATGTAATCTGAATTCCTCAGAGTGACTACCCAAGCCTAAATTGAAGATAATTTCCAACAAAATTAGATGCAAGTGAGACTTTCCAACCGAACGGCCCCTTCTGACTTTAGTTGGAGGATTTTATAGAAGGGCTATATAGTACATTGATTTACATGAAATCAGCATACTCCTCTTGATCAGATTTATAACAGCACCACTACCCACAGAGGAAACGGCCACTAGGGCATGTCTTACGTCCATCAGCAGGGGCAGGCGAGTCACCCTCTGCATGGGGAGAATGAGGAAGGAGATCATGGGTAAGTTCCTACAGTCTTCTTGGGACTCAATTCGTGACAGTACTTCTTTAAAAGATGGGTTGGTGGCTCTGAGAAAAAGAAAAGAAAGAAGCAACTTCAAAATATTTCCTCTTCAAATTAAGAAGTAAAAACATATTACAGGCATACCTCAAAGATCTTGTGGATCTTTTTTCAGGCCATTACGATAAAGCAAATACAGCAATCTAGCAAGCCACATGACTTTTGGGTTTCCCAGGGTCTATAAAAGTTAGCTTTGCACTACACTGTAGTCTGTGAAGTGAGCTATGGCATTATCTCTTTGAAAAATGATGTACATACCTTAATTAAATCATGCTTTGGGGCTAAAAAAAATGCTATCATCTGAGCTCTCAGAGAGTCACAATTGCTGACCACTGATCACCATAACAAACGTAATAATAATGAAAATGTTTGAAATATTCTGAGAATTCTCAAAATGTAACAGAGACATCAGTGAGCAAATGCTGTGGAGAAATGGCATTCACAGACCTGCTCGATGCATGGTTGCCAGCAACCTTCAATTTGTAAAGAATGCAGTATCTGTGAAGTGTAATAAAATAAAGCACAATAAAACTTGTATGCCTCTATAAAATGTGATAAACCCATATACGAGGATTTTTTAATACATAAAACGGTTACATAAATAGACACAGATGGCTTGTCTGCCTTTTATAATGAAGACTGGATATGAGTTTAAGATAAGAATATGAACAATATGTATGAGCTAGAAATTTATATAAAGTAGAAAGTAAACAAATGACAAGGCAATGGTAATTGCAATTATAACTAGCATACAGACTAGATCTCATTATAATTGCAATGGTAAAGGCAGTTATAACTAGCATACAGATTAGATCTCATTCATTCATAATCTACACACAGTCCATTGAAAAGATAACAAATGATAACCTTTTAAGTCACTTCTCTAGCCCCAGATACTAATCTAAGAAATATCAGACTGGATTTCTTTACTAGGAGGCTTCTAACCTTTTTCAAAACTTCTACAACAGAAAATTTTCTGCCTGGGTCATCCAGAATATTTGTCCTCTCCAGTAACATAAGAGCAGTGAGAATGCAGCCACAACATTTTTACGGAACTTAGCAAGATACGCGGACATATGTGATATCACATGGAAACACCCATACAATGTGGTTACAGGAAGAATGGAGTCTCAGGAAGATTGTCCACTTGCCGAGTAACAGACCTATTACCTGGTGAAGACAGAAGTCAAACTAAGGCCATCTGACTTCAGTGGGTGCCCTTACTCCCAGATGGCTCACTCTCTTACCTTGAGTTACCCCAGAGGCGCTCTGAGGAATTCCCTTGTGACTTACAACAGGGAGGGGAGGGGGGATGGCATTGGATACTGTAATACCGTGTTGGGGGATGGAGGAGGCCAAGAAGCAGGGCAGTGGCAATTGTGACTCCCCATTTTGTTAAAGTATCTTGAAAATTAAATGTTTTGGTTCATAAATTAGTAAATACCTAGAATAGCAAACTAAAAGAAATTTTACAGAAATGTTTTCTTTTCATTTTCTCAAACTGAGGAGTTTTAAGTTTCCTTTCCTGCTAGCTTTAGAAAGATTCTTGGAAAGTCAAAAAAATAAATAAATAAAACTCTAATCCAGTTGCATATTTAAATCACTCAGGCCACAGGACTCCCACCCCCAAAGATTCTGATTAAACAGTCTGGGACGGACACTAGGCATTCATTGCATGTTTGTCTGTTTTCAAAGATTCTTAAGCATTTCCAATGTGCAGCCAGCCACTGTCCTAAATTCACAACATTGCAACAAAACCCAACTACTGAAACACACAACGGAGAACTCAACTACTTTCCATGCGAAACTTCAAATGATGGTTATCATTAAGCTAATTTATATAGAATATTATTATCCTATTGAATAATACTTTATTTTTAAGTGACTTCCATACCCAGTGTGGGGTTCAAACTTACGACCCCAAGATCAGGAGTCACATGCTCTCCCCACTGAGCCAGCCAGGTGCCCCTAGAACTTTTATTTTTTAAGAGTTACATAATGTACAGCTGTACCTATTCCATTTTTTAAATCCTGCAAAACAAAATGAAAAGAGAATTAAGTTTAGCTCTAATTCAAGGCTTTTTTTTTTTTTTCAAACACGTAACTTGGATTCTCAGATAGTTACACATCGACCTCTATACCAGCAGTAAGAGGATTAAGAAAAGCAAGGGGTGAGATTATGTCCCCAAGAACATTTGTCAATGTCTAGAAACATTTTTGGTGGCCACAAATGGAGTGAGGGGCATCTAGTGCATGGAGGCCAGGGATGCTATAAAACATGTTACAGGGGCGCCTGGGTGGCTCAGTTGGTTTAAGCATCTGACTTCAGCTCAGGTCATGAGCTCACGATCTGTGAGTTCAAACCCCGCATCTGGCTCTCTGCTGTCAGCACAGAGCCTGCTTCAGACCTTCTGTCTCCGCCCTCTCTCTCTATCCCTCCATTGCACATGCTCTTTCTCTCTCTCAAAAATATATAAATATTTTTAAAAATCTATTTAAAAGACAAAGAAAAAAAACACACATGCTACAATGCACTGAATAGTACCCATGGCAAAGACTTATCCAGACCAAAATGTCAATAGTGCCGGCAAACCTGGCTTTGTCCTTAAAAAGTCTCATTTGGGGTTGCGAGCTGTTGGTTTTCCACCCTGCCCATGTAAGAGTTCGTGAGGCTGTGGAGGGAGAAGGGGCACAATCAGCCCTTCCCACCAACTTGGGAGCTTCCATGAACTGCTTCTCCCAGCAGCTATGAGGTAATCATCACCAGCCCAAATCCATCCACAGGGGCTCGCATGTCCCACGGAAGCTGACCAGAGCGCCATGCTGCGGTCATAAATGCCACAACCCACAGAGGGGATAAGAGTGATAACAGCTGTCAGCCCCCAAACTGGGTTTATGGCAATGCACAACTGTGCTGTGAAACAGAGAGCTGCTAGAGAGAAACAGGGTCCCCTCAAAAGAAAATGAGACATTACTGAACAATGGCTGACTTTTAAGGGTAAAGGAATAAATCACATCAAAACTCACAGTAACCTAAATAGGACAAAGGAAAAAGGTAAGGAGGCAAATTTAAAGCCTAATTTTTTGTTGTTACACAATTAAAGCCTTTAAGAACATTTTTTTCTATTGTTTTTCTTCAGACTTTCCCTTCTTGCCTCACCTCTAACTACCCAGAAGGGGCAAATCAGCCATCCCTATAAAACACTTAATAGAGTTGTCATTTGAATGGAGGAAGATTAGAAAAACAGAGAAACTCAGGATCCTAGGCACATAGGAGTTCAACTCCAGAACTCTACTGGCCTGAGGCAAACTACTTCATGACCAGGCAATGGCTTAGAAAATCAGGGAGTTTCGCATCATGATCACTCCTGTGTCTTGCAGCAATTTAAAACAACAACAGCAAGGAAAACAATAACAGAAACCTGTAATTTCATAATTGCTTTAGAGAGAAAGTGTCCCACAGACTAGATTTTTCTATTCAAACACCCTCACGCTGAAAGCAATCATGGGAAATAGCCCATCAGGAGGCACTTCTAAATATAATTTAGAGATCAATTAATTTCCATCAACATGACCTAATTAAAACGAGGCAAGGCTATTCAACATCTCTTACAACAATTTCTGCAGTGTCCGTTGTTGGTAGACTTCATTTGTGCAGTATTTCACATACGGGTCAAATGTGGACGCTGTGTGCTTTTCCACAATGTCACTTATGTCATCTATGAAGATATTATTCTGATGTCTTGCTTCCAACTCCGTAAAGAATCTGAAAAAAAAAAAACCCAACAAAGAAAAGCATTTACATTTTCTTCCATATACTTAAAAAAAACTCAGGGCGCCTGGGTGGCTCAGTCAGTCAGGCGTCTGACTTCAGCTCAGGTTATGATCTCGTGGTTCCTGAGTTTGAGCCCCGTGTCAGGCTCTGTGCTGACAGCTTGGAGCCTGGAGCCTGCTTCCATTACTGTGTCTCCCCCACCCCTCCCCCGCTCTCACTCTGTCTCTCTCACTCTCTCTAAAAAATAAACATTTAAAAAAATTTATATTTATGGGGCGCCTGGGTGGCTTAGTTGGTTAAGCGTCCGACTTTCGCTTAGGTCATGATCTCGCAGTTCGTGGGTTCGAGCCCCGCGTCGGGCTCTGTGCTGACTGCCAGCTCAGAGCCTGGAGCCTATTTCAGAGTCTGTGTCTCCCTCTCTCTCTGACCCTCCCCTGCTCACGCTGTCTGTCTCTCTCCTAGAAATAAATAAAAAATATTTTTAAAAAATTTTTTTAATTTATATTTAAAAAATCAAATATGACTCTCATGCAATGTTATTATACAGGGCTTGAAAATATCAACAGTGCACAATACCATCTCAAAGAGATACAAGAAAAAAACTATAAAAATTGCCTATTGCCTAAACTTAAATCTATCACATTAATATCTTATTACTTCAAGTGTTCAACTGAAAACACAGGGCATTTTTGTGCTTTCAGGTAGCTTTTAGAATGTACAAATTTCACTACCTTTATTTTTTTTTAGTGTTTATTCATTTTTTGAGAGAGAGAGAGAGAGAAAGCATGAGCAGGGGAGGGGCAGAGAGAGAGGAAGATCTGGAATCCAAAGTAGGCCCCAGGCTCTGAGCTGTCAGCACAGAGCCTGACGCAGGGTTTGAACCCATGAACTGAAAGACCATGACCTGAGCCAAAGTCAGATGCTTAAGTGACTGAGCCACCCAGGGGTCCCTTCACTACTTTTTCTTTTCTAAGAATTCCCTAGATATTGGAAGAGGAGGAGGTTCATGTTTCCACATTTTATAGTACTGAAAAGTCTATGAGCAAAACATCTAAATAAGTACTTAAAAAACAGGTCTGGGGCGCCTGGGTGGCTTAGTCGGTTAAGCGTCCGACTTTCGCTTAGGTCATGATCTCGCGGTTCGTGGGTTCGAGCCCCGCGTCGGGCTCTGTGCTGACTGCCAGCTCAGAGCCTGGAGCCTGTTTCAGTCTGTGACTCCCTCTCTCTCTGACCCTCCCTTGCTCGCGCTGTCTCTCTCTCTCTCTCCTGGAAATAAATAAAATATTTAAAAAAAAAACAGGTCTAAAATTAACCTAATTCTGTGTCCTTTCTCAAATAATCTTAATATTTTAACTCTAATAATATACATGACATTTAAATGTACTCAAATTATTCAGATTGCATTTTAGGGTTGCTAGATTTGGCGGGTATATCTACCTATCTATCTGGTGTCCAATCCAGTGAAAATTACATTTCAGATAAAGAAGCAATTTTTTAGTACAGGTATGTACAAAATTAGTGTATGGGACATCTTGAGCATCCTGTATCTTATCTGGCAACTCTAGAGGGCATCCACTTTTTAGAGCACATCAAAATCAGATTATTTAAGAGGTTTCTACCCAGAGCATTGCTGCTCAAAACATAGTCCACAGACCAGGCAAATAAGAGAATCTCACCACCTACCTTTCCCAGTGTGAATCTGCATTTCATCAAGATCTTCAGGTGATTCAAAAAACGGAGCTGAACCGCCATAGAGCACACTTACTATTCAAGTTTGTAGGGATAGGAAAATCTATTAGACATAACTACCACTGTGTGACCAAAGCATCGTCCAAAGAAAGTGTCAGGAAGGGGAAATTAACAGTAGTTTCTAATGCTGACCTCTGGAGGAGTAACACAAGGGAATTTCGTTCCCAATAAGGTCTTTAGCATTCCTCATACCATTCCTCCCCCCAGTTTGCTGGGTAAACTCCAAACACAAAGTTTAAGGCTGACGGTGAATGAGTCAACAAAAATTTACACAAGATGATTGATAGTAAATATAGGCTAACATCTTCTCACATTTACATCTCAGTTATTGTTAAAGAAAATCCTGGCACTCAGCAATGAAACAAGATTTTAAGAAGTCTTGATTTTATATATTTACATGTACATTAATATCATTGTAGTATAAACGGTACTTGTCATCATTTCCTATTTTATTTTGTAATGTTTCCATAGAGGCTTAAAAGATGAAGAAATATACCTTAACTCACAGAAGAGTAAAATTATGTACACCCTGAGAAAGCACCTGTATTTTTATTTTCTTTGAGAAGGACTTAGGGAAAATAATCAGTATGGTTCCCATTCACAGACTGTAATCGGCCCAGTCCCCCAAGCCCTTTGTTTAACACAGCAAGAGAAAAAACTTAAACCACACTTGGCTAGGCTATTTGGCTTTCCTTCCAAAGGTATCAGGGTTAATATGCACAATTCTTACATAGTAGGTCAGAAAATATACCCGTATGTTCCAAAACAGCTTCATACCGCTTTGGCAAGACTGACTCTATTGGCATTCAAGGAAAATATCAAACTCTCTCCTAAAAGTTTCGGCAATTGCAAAAACAACCAACTCCAAATTCACATGTTTATTAAAGGATATTTAAAAACTATGTTTCTTAAAAGCAATTTTCTATAGAGACTGGTCCCTGACTTCAAGAAATCTACATTATAGGGGCGCCTGGGTGGCTCAGTCGGTTAAACGTCCAACTTTGGCTCAGGTCATGATCTCACGGTTCGTGTGTTCAAGCCCCGCGTCAGGCTCTGTGCTGACAGCTGGCTCAGAGCCTGGAGCCTGTTTCAGATTCTGTGTCTCCCTCTCTCTCTCCCCCCTGCTCACGCTTTCTCTCCCCTACTCACACTGTCTCTCTCTCTCTCTCAGAAATAAATAAAACATTAAAAAAAAAAAAAGAAATCTATGCTACATTGGGAAGGGAAACCTGATAAACATAAATGATAGAGAAAGACAACATGCTTGCAAAGAACCACTTGTGGAACATATGTGCCTGACAGGGGTGGTGTCACTATCTGTTTCTTTAATTACACGAACTATATATTTTCTTATTGGGGTAAAATATATGCAACATAAAATTTGCCATTTTAACCATTTTTAAGTGTACAATTCAATGGCATTATTCACAATCATGATGTTGTACAACTATCATCACTATTTCCAAAATATTCTCATCACCTCCAACAGAAATGCTGTACCCATTACCGAATAATGCTCCATTCACCCTCTCCCCAGCCCCTGAGCACTTCTAATCTACTTTCTAACCCTATGAACTTGCCTATTCTAGATATCTCATATAAGTGTAATCATGAAATGGTTGTGCTTTTTATCTGGCTTATTAGACTTAGTGTAATGTTTTCTGGTTAATCTCTGCTGACACATGTAACAGAACTTTATTCCTCTTTATGGATGAATAATATTCTATTGTGTATATATATCATTTTATGTTTATCCATTCATCTGTTGATGGACATTTCAGCTGTTTCTACCTTCATGAACATTTGCACGCAGACATCTATGGGAGTCCTTGTCTTTGGGGCTATATATCTAGAAGTGGAACCTTCAATCTCACTTACTCTGCCAATAATCACATATATCAAAAAGTGATCGTATAATACCAAGAACCACTACAGAAGAAGCTGAGTTATATGCCAAGGAGAGATTGTTTCAATAGGAAATGATCCTTTTCTTTCCAACACTCACAGATGAGTGGTCCTTGGGCTGCACAGTGCCAATTAACTACAACACATGACCTGTAAATAGAGGTCAGGGTGACTGAGAGCATGGTAAACTCAGGTGAAGAAAAGTGTGGGGAGGGTCATCATTAATGAAGATGACATTACTGGAAGCAGAGGGGGCAGGGGACACAACGTAGATACAGGCACGAATTGGGAAAATGGAGTTGATTGAGGCTGAGGTTTTGACCACAGGAGGGCCAATGACAGAGAATGAAGCTTCATCTGTGGACAGCGAGAATACTGGAGGTGATGAAGGCAGTAATAAATCATCCAACCAGAAGAAACTGGGGCAGAGAAGGATCGATTACAGGTGGGGAGAGAACAGACCACAAGCAGACCAGTGAAATGGCCAACGTGGGCATAAAACCTGGCAGTGGGAAATCAAAAAGAGAGGACACTGATTAGGGTAACAATATGAGGGGAAAATTCACATAATGAAGATACTCATTAGATGGGAAGTCAAGGAAGACACAAGGGTTTCTACTCAAGGTTTCCACCTGGGCAAGAGTGTGGCCCGTTAAACCATTCACAAAGACAGGGATTTAGAAGGAGTGATGAGAAGCAAGAAGGAAGCAGTTTAATTTTGCCTTGGACATGTCAAAAGGAGAGCTGAAAATACAGGTCTGTGAGAATTCAGAGCCACAGTAATTCTAGGTCGTGTGTAGTCAAGACTAGTTAGTTCACTTTTAGATGGTTTTCCTATAAATGCAAAATATTTGATAATTATTTTAAATCCAAGTATCTTTGAGGAAAATGTTCAATGACAGTTGAAAAAATAAGAAACCACTCATAAGGTCATTATCATGCAAATCTAAGAAATAAATGTCTTAGAGGCAAATATCCCTTACAGTTTCTTGTCTTTAACTAGCTATTATAGTCTGAAGGAATGCAACTACATAACCAAAAACAACAGTCACTTGGCTTTTCCAAATGAAAAGGAAAATTCATTTATCACAGTAAAAACCTTGCCAAAGTACAAGACTAAAAACAAAGCACTAATGAAATATCTGTTTATGCTACTCACTCTAATATAAACCAAGCCACCCATCTTTTATTTTGACAGTAGCATAATTAAGACATAATTTAAAGCTTCCTATGTTAAATTATCTATTGGTTATTTTGGCAAATTTGCATATTTTACTAAGTGAGCTGGGCTACAAAAAGACCAAGCAAGTTATTACTGAAGAATGAGGTATTACTTC